GGGCGGCGGGCAAGGCACCGCGTCGGACGAGCGCAAAAGCGCTTTCTCGCAGCCGGCGCGCTCCTTCTCGCAGCTGTCCCCGCTGGTACTGGGCCAGAAGTTGGGCGCGCTCGAGACGTGCCACCCCGGCGACGGCGTGGGCCCCACCCGACTCTATCCCGCCGCCACCGACCCTCTGGCTGTGAAGCTGCAGGGGGCAGCGGACCTGAACGGGGCCTGCGGGGCCCTGCAGAGCAGCGGCGGAGGCTTGCCCAAGCAGAGCCCCTTCCTCTACGCCACCGCCTTCTGGCCCAAGAGCTCTGCGGCGGCTGCGGGGCCCCTGCAGCTGCAGCTGCCCTCGGCACTCACGTTGCTGCCGCCTTCCTTCACCTCCCTGTGTCTGCCGGCGCAGAACTGGTGCGCCAAGTGCAACGCCTCTTTCCGCATGACCTCCGACCTGGTGTACCACATGAGGTCGCACCACAAAAAAGAGTACGCTCTGGAGCCCTTGGTGAAACGGCGGCGGGAGGAGAAGCTGAAGTGTCCCATTTGTAACGAGTCTTTCAGGGAGCGCCACCACCTCTCCAGGCACATGACCTCGCATAACTGACATGGAAAGGACCCCGGCTTTCCACGCGCGCACACGCACAGTCAAGCCACCTGCAGGAACGAACACAGGACGACATCCACCACAAATTTGAGCCCTGAAACACTCCATTCAGACGCACACACGCGCGCGCACACACACACACACACGGCTTTCTCATTCAAATGATTACCCACCACACACACACACACACGCACGCACACACACACACATACACACGGCTTTCTCATTCAAATGTTTACCCAACACACACACACACACACACACACACACACACACACACACGAAGCAGGATGGTGGATTTTTGATTGGGTGGGTTGTTTGGGGGTTTTCGTTTGAATGCACGCATTTTCACTTACCCAAAAACAAAGGTACATTTTTAAAAATGTCATATATTGCAACATATTGATGCATTTGTCATACGTTTCTACTTAAATTATTAAGCACTTACAGTTTAGATGTAACAATTATATGTGAGGGCAAAATTTATTTTAGATAATAAAGTAAAGGAGGAGGGTGAGATGCTTTCCGCATTTCTGGATGACAGTTTGTGTTCTTACAAAAATAAAACAAATAAAAAGGGGGTTGTGATTCAATTTAAGTTTCCAGGGGGAAGTGCATGTATCATGACATGATTATGGACTTCAATGAAGAATGTCATCAATTATGTAAATATGTATTTCCTTTTAATACAAAGTGTAATTTTGTGCCAGTGAAATGGAGTCTGGATAGTTGAGTGTTTCTTTGTTTTTGGAAAGATTTATTAAACTTTATAGTTTATCCGGGTATGTTGGATGCTTTGACAATAAATGACTATTTTCTTCAAAGCAATTATTTGGAACTTGTTTTTTAAGATATTTTCGGTGGCTACGGGCTGCCCTACTTGCATTTATTTACTCTAAGCCAATTTTGAGCCTCTGAGGAGACAAGATTTGATTATTATTCGGAAAATCCTTAGCTGGAAAATGTTAGGTTTCTTGATCAAAGAACAAATCACTTAGACAAGGATGCTTGCCATGCAGCTAACTTGTCACTGGGATGTCAACATTCCTTTCGACAGTGGAGTGATTAGCATCTTCTTCACAAATGGCCAGAGACAAACAATCTTCAGGCCTGGATCAGGGAGACCAGATGAAAAGTCCGCTTAAAGTTCTACTAGCGATGCTTACACGAAGAGCATCTCCTGGTCCAAGACCTTTCAGCATTCTGTCATTGTCCATTAGGAGATCCTGTGGGGAGTGTTTTTAGAAATCATGTTGAAATGACCATGCTTCAGTGATGGTTTGTGCATCGCAGGGCCCAGCTTTCCTTCCAAAGACTTAAACAGCTGCACAGCCCCTGAAACAAAACTAGACCTGAAAAACATCATAATACAGAAGAACTCTACAAATAACTTTTTTCCTCTCCCCACCCTGGCTATTATGAAAAGTCCCTCTGTGCTCTTCATATACTGACAACAATACTTAATTAAATGGAGTATACATATGTAGATGTATGTGATGTGTCTGGCAACAATTAGACACAAAACAAAAGGAATGAGGATCCTTTACGTCTTAGGGTAGAGTACCCTTAATCCATGGGCATTTTATAGTCACCCTATAGATGAGCTAGAAGCAGTTACTATACTGGTTTATCTATTACAGGAGGTGTATTTTCCCATTTCTTCTTCTTCCTTCACATCCTGCCTACCCTCCCTTATGTCAGAAGGAGGACGCTTGTAAAAAGGCCTGAAATGGAAACGTGAAAAAGGTCTCACTGCAGGCTATTCAATGACTTTATTTAAAAGGGTTTTACAGTCTTCATGGTATTAAGATGACTACAGAGCAGATTATGGTTAGGGCAGGGAACAGGAGTACGGCAAATTGGTATATCCACAGGGAGTGTGACTCTTATTGGTGAGAAAGCAGGTAGGCTCTCTTAAGGTCATCCAGACACTTTTTTTTTCTTTTTAAACTACATTTCTTTGAGGCCTGCTCTTGGTTTTTGTTTTCCTAGGCAACATTTGGATGATCTGATGAACTCATCCCCAGTAAGGTGTGATGAGAGAAGGGGTCTAAAATTCCAGTTCTAACTGCTATTGATGACTAGTAGTAGACTAGTGGGACCTTACATTACTTATTGGCATGATTTAATTTCCCTGCATTTTGGTTTTATCATCTGTAAAATGGGCGAGTCAGGTTCTGCTCTCTTTAAAGTACTACTAGCACTGGGGAAATTATTTTTCTAATGAGCTAATTAGGCTCTAAATGTAAAGGGGGTGTTCTATAGAAAAGACCAAGATTTGTTGTTGAGAATCTTGGTCTTTCATGGGAAAAAAGTGAGAAAAATATTTGAAGATAAATAGAAAATGGGTGTCAAGGGATCCTCAAATCATAATACCTGAGATGTAGACTAAATCATCCATGCCTGGGATACTAGTGAATAGATCTATAGAGCAAAAATCTCTAAAAGCAGTCTAACAACCAATGTTGTCCTACAGCCAAACTTGCCAAGAAACTTGAATACTCTTTCCCTTCTACCCTAATCCTTCAAAATCTTCTCTTCAATACCACTGACTTACTTCATTTCCTGTTGGGTATTCAGACAGGGATGAACTACAAAAAGGTAAACAAATACTGATTTTTGAAAAGGACTTCATTATAATTTGGAATTAGATTTTCTGAAGGATACCTGTAGGCACTCGTTCAGCTTCCCATTTTCTTTTGGATGGTCATTATCTTAATCACACAACTAGGAAGAAAGCTGAGCTTTGGGAGCTACTGCCCAGGCAATTCAGGTAGGTGGGACCATGGCAAACTATTTGGGACTGGGTAGCTATGCTGATCAATCTGCCCTCAAGACCGTTTTGGCGGGAAGTAGCACGGAAAGAGTGCCCAAAGTTAGTTTTGCCTTCAGCCAAGACAAACTCAGAAACAATGTTAATGATGCATTTTCAAGCTTTCAAATGTATTCGAACTCTCTCCTGTATCTGTACTTTCTCAGACTGGAGTTTCCAAAGGTCCATAACCCCGCCCATTTGCCAGGCTAGTTTAGGACCCGGTAAATGTCTACACACTGCTGCAGAGGAAACAGGGTCAGAAGGTCGAGCAATTATACAGCCCAGCTGGTCCCGCGAAGTCCAGGGAGGTGGCCCGAGCTCGGAGTGCTAAGACCGCAACGCCTGAAGATCAAGGAAAAGGAAAAGCCAATGGGTTTGCTGCACAAGCATTTGTTGTGTCCCAATCAGTAGCAGAATATCTGGGACTGACCCGGTACCTAGGTCCCGCGATCTCAAAGCGTGTTCTCGGAGTCCATTCCAAATCCCTCTCCACGTGTCCCTTGACTTCTCTGAGGCGTTTCTGGGTGGGGGATGCCTGGATTGCCCAGGCTGTGTTTGCAGAGTAGGGTGTACGCCCCCAGGCGTGCAGGAACCAGAGGCAGGGGAAGGGACTCGCACACATCCCTGCAGAGTTCGCAAGTGTTTGGGTGACTGAGACGGAAATCAGACTCGCCGGATGAAAGTTCCCAAGGGCCCGACGGCTCTGCGGTTCTCCGACGCGCAGAGTCCCGCGTGTTGCTGCAGCAGTCACGCGGAGCAAGTTGCCAGCATAGATGCGCCGCCGCTGTCCCGCGCCCGGGCTGGGGGATGGGGCGCACAGGTGTCTCGCCTGGTTCCTCACTTCCTCGCTCACCTAACCCATCCCTCACCCTCTAGACACTGGCATCCAGCCAACTCTTATCCTCTATTAAGTTTTCCCTCCGGGTAACTAATCTCTTTGGGCAGCTCTGCCCAGGGAATGTGACCCCGAGTGGGGGAACCTTGAACCCCAGAGACCAGCCGCATCTAGAGAAGGGGCCTGGGAGTGCCGCCCAGATTCCGAGGGCTCCAGTCCCCACAGCAGCCTGGCAGTTTTAGATCAGGCTCTTCCCCGTCGTTCCCTGCCTCGACTGGGATTCCCCTTCGTCCGCCCAGGGAGGAGGAGAGCGCGCGTCCACTAATGGGCTCAGGTGGGTGCACTTCGGAGAGGCCCAGGTATCTCCCGTTCTGAGGCCAACTGCAGAGCTGGGGCGGGAAAGGGAGATGTGGAAGATGGTGCCGGGACGCCGGCCTCGCGTACAGACCGAGAGCGGAGCAAGGATGATGAGCAAGGATCAGCTGGAGAGGTTTTAGGTTTTCTTTATTCTCGCTTTGCCCAACCCCACTTTCTAGCATCAGTTTGCCTCATTCTATGGTTTCTCCAGTTTTCCCTTTCCAATCCCTCTCCACCTCCTCGACCCTTTCCGTCTCTTAATCACTTAAGCAGCTTTGCGTTCCTTTCTGCAGTTTTATGAGAGAATCTCCCTTTGGTGCCTTCCCGACATCCGAACAGCCAAATGCGTGTTAGGGCCGCTGCTCCAACCCAGCGGAAAATTGCCGGCAAGGTCCTGTCAATTAACTGGGCTTTGAGGATTACCCTAGCAGACAGAGATGGACAAGTACCAATTCCCCTAGCGCGCGCGCGCGCGCGCGCGCGCACACACACACACACACACACACACACACACAGTGCCGCTTTCGGAATGGCTCTCCTAGATGAGAAAGCCATCACTGAGAGATTCAGACAGAGGTACCTTTGGCTTTGCTTGGAAATTCCTGTCTTTCCCTGAAGGTGAAAACTAGCTCCAAATGGTGTAGAAAATTTAACCTGTCCATAAACTAAGCTTGGAATGAGAAGAGAAGCTGGACCAGTTCCTTTTTCTCCTCCAAATGCATTTTGGTTGACAGGCAAGCTACCAGGCTGAGAATTTTGAGGCATTCTGGTAGACTGCTAGGCCTGAGTGCCATTTGGCTTTGTAACCTGCATGGGCAGGGAGGAAGGAAGCTCTCTGCCTCTCTGCTTTGCGGATTATAAGGAAAACTTTGCTTTTCCTACTTTAAATCAGAAATCTAGAACTTTCTGGAAACATAGCTATTCTCCAGTATTAGTGGATGAAGAAACTGAACAAAAAATTTCTCTCTTTTAAAAAAAATTTTCTTTGTATTTTTTCATCTCTAGGGTTAGAGGTCTGATACAGGTTTCCTATTAGAATGGCTAAGCTGGTTATGCTAATTATTATTTACTTATCCCTTTTTCAGTGTGTTTATGTATGACTGTACTGGACTATACATGAATGCATGTTTGTATATATGCATATATATATAGGAATAGATACCAG